AAGATACGCGATACAGAACGAGACCAAACGCGAAATCAGCACGTCTCCACACAGTAAACAAAACAAGCGTTTCCTAGCAATGACAACTGCACTAAACACTAATGAGACAAGTAAATACACTTACGAGCTGCTTTTAACTTCCGCTGATAAAGACTGCTTCTCTCAAAGAGTATTTCTTTACACTGTTTTCTGCTGACGCTTGAACACACTTGAACACACTTTCCGAACACACTTTTCACTTTCACACTGAAGAGATGGGTCGAACCCGCAAACCAAATGGCAGTATTTGCCATAAAGGAGCCGCCGGTGGTGGATCTGGGAACAAAACTTTCTGCAGTCCAGAAGAAGGAACTGGAAGCCCTGGTAAGCTGTTTTTCAGATGTGTTTTCAGAGACCCCGGGCCGGACAGACATCCTCTCTCATGAGATTCACACCCCACCTGATGTCATCATTAAACAGCGGCCCTACCGGGTACCAGAAGCTTGCGACAGGCTATAGAGGAGGAAGTGCAACGGATGCTCCATTTGGGAGTAATTGAGGAGTCTCGAAGCCCATGGTCCAGCCCTATAGTTATGGTGCCCAAGAAAGATGGAACTTACCGGTTCTGCAATGACTTTCGTAAGCTGAATGAGGTGTCCCAATTCGACAGTTACCCCATGCCCCGAGTAGATGAGTTGGTTGAACGCCTCGGCAGAGCCCGCTTCATCTCAACGCTTGACCTCACCAAAGGTTATTGACAAGTGCCGTTGTCTAAAGATGCCAGAGAAAAAAACTGCCTTTAGCACACCCGGGGAGCACCGGCAGTATCGGGCCTTACCCTTTGGCCTGCATGGGGCAGCAGCAACATTCCAAAGGCTCATGGACATTGTGCTGCGTCCGTACCGAGCTTATGCCGTGGCTTACATCGACGACGTGGAAATTCACTCAGAGCATTGGGAAGACCACCTGGATCGGCTAAAGAAAGTCTTGATGGAACTACGGAAGGCTGGACTAACGGCCAACCCAAAGAAGTGTCACCTGGGCCTGTGCTAAAGAAAGTCTTGATGGAACTACGGATGGCTGGACTAACGGCCAACCCAAAGAAGTGTCACCTGGGCCGTGCCTTTCTCGGTTTGGCGGGTTACTACCGGTGCTTCATCCCTAAATTCTCCTCTATAACCTGTCCCCTCACAGACCTGACCAAGAAAGGGCAGCCAGAGAAGTTATGCTGGACAGAAGAAGCGGAGCAAGCATTCCAAGCGCTCAAGACGGCTCTCACAGCTTCACCAGTATTGCATGCTCCGGACTACAGTTGCCCCTTCATCTTCCAGACAGATGCATCAGATGTAGGAATAGGAGCGGTGCTGTCCCAGGTCCAAGCAGTTGAAGAGCATCCCATTGTCTATATCAGTCGCAAGCTCTCTCCTGCAGAATCCCGATATGCTGCAGTAGAAAAGGAAGCCCTGGCCATAAAATGGGCAGTTTTGGAGCTGAGATATTATCTGACAGGACGCAGTTTCACCTTAGTCACGGATCATGCTCCCCTGTTCTACCCTCTTCACGGTGGATTATCTGCCTCTCTGATCCTCCGAGCCCCTTCTCCACTTTCATTATTGTCACTCAATAAATGCCCCTTCGGGGATATTTCACCACATGTTGAGTCTGAGCCTCCTTTCTCCCGCCACAATATATATACTGTATGTATATATGTGTTATTTCTTCTCCTTAAAAACAATTTTAAAAACTTGTCTACCAAATCAAAGTCATGTGGTACAAGCAACATACAGTTAAAAAACAAGGTGTGTCAAGGTCAATAAGTTTCTAAAGTATAAGAACATTTATTTTTTAATGACAAGGCAAGGTTAGTTCAGGTTGCAAAATTTTGTGTGTAGTTTTCATGAATTGTAGTTTTAATGTGTAGTTGACCAATAATCCTCAATCCCAGATGGTGCGTGAGCAGTACCTCACCACCACAGATGAGTCTGGGTCCCTGGCTCCAATCACTGAGTACTTCTACATGATCGGCATCTATGGCTGGAGGAAACGCTGTCTCTATCTGTTCGTTCTGCTTCTCCTCACCATTCTGGTGGTGAACTTTGCCCTCACGATCTGGATCCTGCGAGTTATGTGGTTCAATACGGTGAGAGAACTTCACTCAAAAGATTTCAGATCACATATGTAATTAATTTTTAATAGAAAAATGAATCCATAATTAGATTCTGCCCTTGGTTGAGCCTCTTTATCTCAGTTTGCCACTCTGTTATGTCGCATGCGGTCACACTGATGCTGAGAAAGCGCTCTGTGTTATTGGTTGTTGCAGGAAGGCATGGGATACCTGCAGGTCAATGCAGACGGACTGAGACTGGAGGGAGAATCAGACTTTCTGTTCCCTCTCTACGCCCAGGAAATTGACTCCAGAGAGGTAAGAGGTATTTAAAGTATACACTTAAACACGGATAAATAGATTGATTTAGGTGCCCATTTTGCTCATTCTCATCTTCATTACAGGATTCAGCTCTTCTGGTGCACTCCTCTGAAAATGTTACACTCAATGCTCGCAATGCCAATGGTGATGTAACAGGAAGTGTGTCTGTAGGTATGAGATATACAAAACATTTATTTGTTGATTTCATGATTTTGTCAATGTGTTTCACCCTACAAAGCCCACTGTACCACATTTGATATGCAAATTTATAAGGCCTCTAAGTGATCAACATGATTAAAACCTATTGTACACAATCTTATAGTACTGTACATGCCTTCTGTCATTCATACTTAACGTAAAATGCTTTTTAGTAAGTAAACATAAGAATACATTTTATATTGTAAATAATTATAAACACTTAATGGACTAAAGCAATTTAGGTTTACTTGATTAGTCATATTTTTTTAGAAAATGAGTATCAAATATGGCTTTTGAGGAACATTTATTTGTTCATCTCTCAATCATCATTGTAATTCATCTCATTGTAATCATTGTTATAAGTTTTGATTAATCCTCACCTGTTATGCATTACTGTTATAAAGATCTCATTGATTTGCATTACAATAAGAATTTCATCTTACTTTTTGGCTATATAAATAACAGCAGCTGCACTAAATTGCATATTTTTACTCAGGGCCTCTGAATAAGACTGAGTTGTTATTTTCTCCTTAAATATGAACTCCATATTCTCACTACATCATAAAATATACACAGTAAAAACAATTCCGTCAAATTTATGGTAAAAAAACGGCAGCTGTGGTTGCCAGAATTTTACCGTAAAAAATGCGGTAGCAGCGTTTTAGGTTTTACGGTTTTAACTTAAATTTACAGTTAAATACCGTAATTTCATTAACTGATATAATGTTAATATACCAACCCAGGGGTGGCGAACTCCGGTCCTGGAGAGCCGCAGCCCTGCAGAGTTCAGCTCCAACCCTAATTAAAACTCACCTGCCTGTAGCTTCCTAGTAACTGTTCAGACCTTGATTAGCTTGTTCAGGTGTGTTTGATTAGGGTTGAAGCAAAACTCTGCAAAGCTGCGGGCTCCCCAGGACCGACGTTCGCCACCCCAACCATTTAACAGGTTTTTACTGTAGCATTTTTACAGGTTTTTACCGTTAAATTCACGGTCATTTTTTACAGTGTAAGCAATAAAAGCCTGAAGTGTCAAATATGATACAAAAAAAAAAAAACACATATTCCAACTTTTTTTTTGTCTAAACGTTCAATAAATGGTTCTAGTATTAATATGTCAGGCTTTACAGGGTTAATCAAATGGGTCACACAGAAAATGCATGAGCTAAGAGCCCAGCAGCAACATAAAACAGAAAAACTGGATATAAAACTGAAATATTCTGTTTAAATATTGATGAAAACTTGTGTGATGTCTAGTCTATATATATTCTCTTCTTATTTATTTCTCTCCTCAATAGGTCCCAGTCAGGCAGAGGGTTTTGGCCAACACTTCAATATCAGTTCAGACCATGATGAAAATTTATTTTATGCAGATGCAAATGGAGCCGTTGTGGGAAAAGGAAAGCTCCGCGTTACAGGTGAGCCTGAAACTAGACCTGTACAATGTGTATATAAAAAAAAAGTAATGATCTGTCATGTGTATTATTAGTACTGCTATAATGTTATT